TTGAATGAATTCTTTGAACTCTCTGGAAAAAATAACCATTGATTTAAGTAGAAATAGCTACATCTTTATACACATGTCTTTATTCTTGTATCCAGAAAAGTATCTTTCAAGTGTTTTGTTTGAAAGAAATCACAGAAGATACTTAGAACAGGAATTATTTATTCAGTAGTGCTCTTAGCTAATGCTTGACTGACAAGAGTCAAAGACTGGAGGAACCTTCAGAATGTCCTTTAGACAGTGACTGAAAAAAACAAACAAACAAACAAACTGATGCATTCATTTTATTAAGAAAGCAACCAGAGAAACACAGAGAACTACAAACTACATGTTGAATAAAATGTCATGCCAGGCACATGCCTGTAATCCCAACACTTAGGGAAGCAGAGGCAGGTGGATCTTTGTGAGTTCTAGGCCAGTCTGGTTTACTAAGAGAGTCGAAGACAGCCAAGGCTACACAGAGAAACCCTGTCTTGAAAATAAAAAAAAAAAAAAAAAGGAAAGAAAAAATAAAGAAAAGATGCCGTGAATCCATTTGGAACAATTATACTTTTCAGGATTTAAGAACAGATATCTGATAACTGCCATGTATCAGAATGGTGGTTACCTCCAAGAGGGGCATTTTGGAGGGCAACACTAATGTTCTGTCTTAATTATAGTTCTGTCTACACTGGCATATACATTTTTTTCAGAGCTTTGAGAACCATATGCTTAAGATGGGTGCATATTATTGCAAATGATACATCAGCAAACTTGATTCTTAAAATGATATCAATAACATTGTCTGTTAGTTGCTGCTATTTAATTACTGCCCCTACTTAAAAGTTTGGCTAGTGAGATTAAACACAAGGTGTTTCAGTCCCAGCCTAGGAGAGACTTGCTGCTAAGAGCAGTTGAAGAATTCCTCTGACTTTTCCTGAGTCTCATTTTCCCTGTTAGCTCACTGAAGAGAACAGCTGTGAAGTCAATCAAATAATATAGGGGAGACTCTCAGCAACAGGATTTGGAGTTTTGTTGTTTCTTTTTTATTCTTTCTTCGTTTTTCAATACTGGATTGAATCTAGACCTTCCTGCATATTATCTAAGTGCTATTTCTTGGACCTATATACCCAGCAATACTAAAGTTCATTATGTTTTCATTGTGTTTTTTAGAATCTTCTGTCAGAACCTTGTGCTATTTTCTGAGATATACTCTGACCTGTAGACCAGGCTAGCCTCAAACTGACAAGAGTTCCACATACCTCTGCCTCCTCAGTGCTGACACTAAAGGTGTGTGCTACCATTCGAACAATTTTAGTTAAAGACTCCTTAAGAATCCCAGAATCTCTACTGCCACCGAGGATGTTTTCTAATTATAAGGTCAGATGTTTTAATTCATATAATGATTGTTGAAAGTATCTATTGACGTTTCCCTGTGCCCTTAAAGCAGTGGCACTGTGTCAGGAAGGAGACGGATACACAGAGAATATGGTAAAACCAATAAATTATTTGTGAAATGACCTTGGGATAGAATAGGTTGAAGGTTGAGTGTATGGTAGCTGATTGAATTTTTATTAGTGATGCTGGGATATTGTGAAGTTGTAGAAAACTTACCTAGCATGTGTGAAGCCCTGACACACAAATACAAACACAAACTCACATACATACACACACACATACACACTACACACACACACACACACACACACACACACACACACACAGAGAGAGACTAATGAGCTCTCAACGTGAACTTTAGCATATTGAATGAAATAAGAAAATGAGCCACTGTTAGACATTCAGGTCTAACAATGAGGAATTATCTATATCAAATTGGCCTATAGTCATATCCATGGAGTACTGTCTTTATTGCTAATTGGTATAGAAAGACCTAGCCCCCTAGTTGGGGGAGGGATTTTCTTGAACAGTATTAGAAAGGAGAAAGCCAGCTAAGAGCAAGCAAGCATTGATACACTGATCCTTTCTCTGATCTGACTGTGGAGATATGACTAGCTTGCTTCAAGGTTCTGATACTTTGACTTTTCTACTAGGGCGAACTGTAATCTGTAACTGTTATTTACAAACTCAGCTTTTCTCTTCTAAGTTGCTTTTGGTTTTTTTTTTTTTTTTTTTATCACAGCCAAAAGAAAGAAACCACAACAGCAAGCGTTAACCTGATAGATATGAGATCAGAGGGATAAAGAGGATTTGGTAACTTGGCTTGGAAAGGGACAAACCACTGGATTTACATTGAGTGAAATGAGACAACGTCATGTGATTTGAAGAGAGAAGTAACACGAAGGGACTGACTTATCTGGAAAGATTCCTCTAACTCATAATGCTGGCCAGCATAACTTTCTAAAGCGATGGGATCTTCCTCTTCCCTTGTCCCTCAGTGTTCAGTATGATAGCCACATACCATATCTGACTCTCAAAGGCATCAGATGTGACTAGGCAAACATTGCATAGAGCTATGGGCCATTGTATCAGGTGGTGCCCTGTTGGGAACTTACTGGGTAGGGATGGAGGAAAAGAGAACAACGGGGCTGGTGATAAAGGGTATGACATCAGGGTTCATGAAAAGCGGTTGAGAACAGGGTGGCAGTGCGGGAAACATTGTTTAGGTTCAGGAGATACTTGGAAGGTAAAGTCAGCATGATGGCGCAGCTTAGGGGCTGGTGAGCTTCTGGATGTGTGTCCACTCTATAGAACTTGAGCTTTCAGAAGCTTTTTAACATTTTCAACGTGTCATATTTTACTAGAGGGAACGTGTCTTGTGGAATAGAACCAGGGAGCATGGGTCAGCAAATGGCAGGACCCAGTACAGCCAGCTCTGCTTAAATATGTGGTCTTGTTGAGGTGGGGGGGGATCACATCCAGGCAACATGAGACCTTAGGGTCTCTGTGGTTATTTCTCTTTCTCTTAAATTATGACTTAAGTCCAGGTAATTATAGATAAGACAAAGTGGAATAGATTCAAGGAGGAGGGGCGGGGGGAAGAGGGAGATGCCAGCAAAAGAAAAAGTGCAAGCTCCCATTTTTTGTTTACTTTGAAAGGGAGTTTTCTCAGAGGGTTTTTGTGGTCGTTAAAGCATGTCGTCGGCTATAATTACATTTGACTTCTGCACTTCGCCACAGGGGAAATAACATGTCCATACAGCCTGTCTCCTTTCACTCTGGAATCCCTGTGTTCTGCCTGCTCTTCTCCAGCTGCCCCTTGTCTCAGGCCTGTGGCTTGGTTTTGGCTGCGCCGTCTAGGCCACCCCCTCACCCCTTTTTCTTTCTTCTTAAGGTCTCCCCTTTTCTTTTCTCTGTACTGGGATCATTTTGGTGGGTGCTACAGGTATGGGTCACGGCTCTCCACTGGCTGTAGGAAACAAACTGATTTAGTCTTCAAGGTTATGTATGGCTCAAATTGACACTAGGATTGAAGAAGCTCACTAGCAAAGTGACTCTTGTTCCATGGATGGAAGATGCCTCTAGCCTAAGCCCAGGACTGACTTGCACATGGAAACCCTTTGCTCCACCAGTCTGACCTACACTCCTCACATCGCTTGCTCAGTATCTGCCCTCAGCTCTACAGTACCTTGATATGGAAGCTCATACAGATAAAAGCCCCGATTCTGTTTGTTGAGAGGGTGCCTCAAGACCATTCAAGTTACTGCATTGGTGTAGTGTCAGAATTAAATCACCACAGTACTTGAAAATCACAAGGTTGAGAAAGTGATGATGAATTGTCTTCCTCTATGGCCTGGTAAGGCTCCCCCCCCCCCCCCCCATGGGGAGGTGATCAAAGAGCCAGCCACTGTTCCCCATAACAGGGAGACTACTTGGAGACTGAGCTGTCATGGGCTACATCTGTGCAGGGGTTCTAGGTTATCTCTGTGGTCCTTGGTTGGAGTATCAGTCTCAGAAAAGACCCTTGGGCCCAGATTTTTTGGTTCTGTTGCTGTCCTTGTGGAGCTCCTGTCCCCTCCAGGTCTTTCTACTTTCCCTTCTTTCATAAGATTCCCTGCACTCTGCTCAAAGTTTGGCTAAGAGGCTCAACATCTGCTGGGTAGAATCTTTCAGAGGCCCTCTGTGGTAGGCTCCTGTCTTGTTTCTGGTTTTCACCCTCTTCCAATGGCTATCCCATTTGCCTTTCAATACAGCCAGTCCTGATGAGACATGATAGGCTAGGGTCAGATGGAAGGGGAGGAGGACCTCCCCTATCAGTGGACTGGGGAGGGGGCATGTGAGCAGAAGAGGGAGGGAGGGTAGAATTGGGAGGGGATGAAGGAGGGGGCTACAGCTGAAATACAAAGTGAATAAATTGTAATAAACAAGAAATTTTTTTTAAAAAGTGATGATTATGGTGACAATAATAGCCAACACATTAGGAACTGTATATGGCAAGCAGGATGGCCCCTAACCATGTGGGTTTCATCCTTGAGGATACCTCTGTGGGGTCAGGTGACAGTTTGACAACTCTTAGAGTGACACCTAGAGAAAAAGGAACCTGTAACTTCTAGCAGTTCTAAAACATGTCAAGAGTCTGAGTTGCATTATTTCTCCCTTGATCTGGTCTGCTGCCTGGGCTATTGTCACTGTCATCAGAAAACAGGTCTCTTAGCAGGTACATGTCACTAAGCCTGATGACCTAAGTTTGATTGCCAGGACTCAGTTGGTGGAAGGAGAGAACTGACTCTCACAAGTTGTCCTCTGACCTCTGCATATGTGTGCACACGTATGTGTACATACACACACCCCTATCTCTTAGGTACAAACTGCCAGGGCTCTGGATACTAACTGGTGCTCCCACACCCATCACTAAACAGACATGAACCTGCCGGCGCCCCAGACACTTCTGTTCGTTTCCTTACTGCAACAGATTGCTTTACTGCCACCAACTTAACTTGCCAGTTCTTTCTGAGGCGTTTGTCTGATTACATCCATCCCAAGATAAATTGCTGTACCCCAAACCTCTGTTTGCATTCTTTGTATATTATCAGTCTTACTCCCACTTTTTCCCCCCTTCCTTTCAGGACATTTGCAAATCGCTCTGGTGCCACCGCGTGGGCCACAGATGTGAAACCAAGTTCATGCCTGCAGCAGAAGGAACCGTTTGTGGCTTGAGTATGGTAACTGTGCACTTGATAGTCTGTAGCTCTAGAACAGTGCTGATGTCACAGAACTGTGACCTTGGAATGGCACGTTTTCTTGGCTGTATTCTTTTTCTGGCTTCTCCTTGAATGACATGCATTACCATGCAAGGACTACAAAACAGAATTTCGATATAAATGAGTTCATTCATTTGATGTAGATTTTTTACTTGTGCTTCTCTTTTTTTAGATGGAGCTTTGAGTCTTAAGAATCTCTATGACACTTACCTAATAGGCTTCCTTGCTTTCCCTTCCTGGGCTAAAGTTCATGTCCTATGAAAGAGCCCCAGAAGGCAGGTGTTTCCATTAGTAATGGAAATTATTTTCTACACAAACTTTCATATTCATTTCTATTGTCCTTTCTTTTCCTATGAGGGTCTGGCAAGAAAGGTACCCTTGGCATAGCAATAAATGAAACAGATTTAGCTAGTCCATTTGAAAGATCACAATAGAATTTTAACATATAATGAGATGAGTTAGGTGTGCTGATCTCAGTCATTCACTTCCTCAAAACACTCTTAACGTGGAATTGGTCGTGAAAAGTAGTTTCAATTCCTTGTTGACTATTGAGTACCAAGTATCAGGATAAGACTCCAAAAACGCAGAGATGAGACACACTGAAAAGTCAGTCGTATTCTTCCGAGAACCCGCAGCGGAAGTGTCAACTGTTACTGTCCTTCAGACCTCTCTTCTTTATAAACTAGCTGCTATCACCCAAATGAAGGATCCTCGGCTGGAATTCAGAATGATCGCCAAGTGAATTGTAATAAGTATACATAGCAAAGTGAACACTGGAGTTTGAATTGGAGAGTCTTTTGAGAGAATGCAGAAATAGAGGCAGAGTGCAGACGCATGAAACTAAAATGGGAGAAAGCCAAGTTCTTCTATCTCAAGATGTGTGTGTAAGAAAGAGGAAGGTCTGAAGGCTGAAGAGAGGGCTTGACTGCTCTTCCAAAGGACCTTCGTTCAATTCCTGTCATTCACGTGGCAGCTCACAGCTGTTTGTTACTCCATTTTCAGGGGATCTGATACTCTCACATAAACATACAATCAGGCAGAACACCAATGTACATAAACTAAAATAAATAATTTTAAAAGTTTTAGGAAAAAAAAAAGAGAGAAGAAGGTCTATGTGGTCACACTCCGTATTACAAGATTTTGAGGCAGGACACCGGGGATCATTCTATAATCCCGGAATTCAGAATGCTGACACAGGAGGATGTCCATGAGTTTGGGGTCAGGCTAGGTTGTGTAGCAAGTTCCATGACAGCCTGTGCTAGGTAGTGAGGTCCTGCCTACATGTGAAAAGGTACAGTGCAATAGTCATGCCTAGTCAATAACACTGCACATTTGAGAGACACTAGGGCTGAGTGTGATGGCTAAGATTACATGGGTATCTATTTAACATTTACATCTTATGTGTAGAATTTTATGTGGTCATATGTGTTATTTGCATTTATATATAGATCTCTGTAAATTCCCATTTGTTACATGGGTTGTGAAGGCAATGGAAGGCAATCTACCAGCAGCCTGACCTAGGACCACGGTGAACACTGAAATCATGACAGCCCAGTCATTCAATGATCAAGACAGAAGTAAAGAAACACATTTCCAACAAAGAAATTAGATTAAGTTGAGGGCCACGGGTCAATAGTTTGTTTGGTTAGAAGAAGCAGAATGAACCCTGGGTAGGTATGAATCTAGATTCTGCAATGAGTGTTTTATCTGTGTCCTGTATGACTGGGCAAGGCAGAATTCCCTACTAACTTCCCATATGCAAAGCAGTCTTCAATTCCTAAGTGCTTAAAAGAGCTCTGGAAGACTTGGCATGTACAAGTCTCCCACTGTTCTTGGAACACTGGAGCCACTCGGTTTTCTGTGGTGGCTGCTTCTGCAAATGGGACCATGGGCTGCTGCTATTTGTCCAGTGTCAGCCCAGTAGAGATCCAACGATTCCCAGTGGGAGAGATGTACGGTGACAGTGTCCAAAGCCCTCAGAGGACCAATTGGTTCCCCAGAGAATTATGTAATCTCAAACTCTAAAATGGCAATTAACCAGGCAAAAGACAAGCTTACAACAGCGGGATTGTCCTGCACATGAAAAGAATTTAAAGAAATAAACCTGATATGAAACTCGCTATCAACAAAGCTACATGTGAGCATTCATGGAGGGAAAGCAGAAAAGTATAAGTAAATAGACTCCCTGGAATTCCACAAGTGAATCCCACTTCTCAGCAGAACCTGACATCACCTAAACCCTAGCCCTTTAGATCAAAGTGCCGATGTTTTCCAGGAAAGTACAATTCTGGTAAGTCTTGTAGACTTGCTCAAAGTGAAAACACATCAAGGAAAATGAAGAAAAAAAGCAATATTACCAGAGACAAACACAACTCCTAGAGAAGGAACAGAGAGGGAGGGAGGGAGGGCTCTAACAGAGGAAGTAATCCTCACCCCACCTTGTGTGAATTACAGCCAAATGAAGGACTCAACACAAATCCATCTAAGACACTGAAGATCACCAGTCATCAGAGGGTCTGAAATGGGCACCTTCTATGAAAGCAATGTTCACACAGAAAGTTATTAATTTCATATGAGATTAGTATGTGACGGTTGAATGAGGCAAATCACCCATACATTTAGCTGTGTCTTACATCTGCTTTGATAGTGAAATGATCGCCATAGAAAATTCTTGAACACGCTAGAGTTGTTCCATAAGTATCATTGTCTCCACATAACAAGGAGGCATCTGTGTAGTTCAGTCTGACTACTTGGGCTGCTTATAGAATCTTATCTGTATGTTTTCTCTATGTAGACAGTTCACAAGGTATGTGCTTCTCAGTGTTAGGATGGAAAAGGCCGCTTCTCTCTAGAACAGTGCATCACAACCTGCCTAATGCTGTGACCCTTTAATACAGTTCCTCAGGTTGTGGTGACCCCCAACCATAAGATTATTTCACTGCTGCTACATAACTGCAATTAATCATAACATAAATAGCTGATATGCAGGATGTCTGATACATGACCCCTGTTGGGACCGTGACCCACAAGATTGAGAACTACTGCTCTAGGGGGAAGACTTGAAACTGCAGGGAGCTGCCATCGCAGCCACTGAGGGTTAATAAAACACAAAGAAAGGCTGTGTCACAGTCACTCCTTGTCCCTCCTGCCTTCGAAGACCCCATTTCCCTCTTTTTAAATTGTGCAGCTATCTGCCTTTCCCTGAACCTTTCCAGACAGCCTCTAACGGGAACCATGTCGCATGTTCTTTCCACAGTGGTGTCGACAGGGTCAGTGTGTGAAGCTTGGAGAGCTCGGGCCCCGGCCCATCCACGGCCAGTGGTCGGCCTGGTCAAAGTGGTCAGAGTGTTCGCGGACGTGTGGAGGAGGAGTCAAGTACCAGGAGAGACACTGTAGTAATCCCAAGTAAGGCTCCAGAAAGACCTGGCTTTGGAGAGGGGTCTTTCTTTCTTCCTTCCGATTGAAAGCAACGGCCAGGGTTTTACTGTTTACGTCTGAAGGCTGTGTGCTCTGGGAAGGGGGTGGGTGGGAGGAGGCGTGGTGTGTAGAATTCAGAACAGGACAGAAGAGTCACTCTCTGTGTAAATGCGATGATCAAAGGCTCCAGTTGTCCCTTGGACTTTTTTTTTTTTTTTTTTCTCAAGTTGAGCCAAGGCTCCACAGGATCAAACACCTGAGCTATTGTACAGCCAGGAGGCTTGGAGAGTGGAACGTGTGTGTCCCCAACAGAAGGAACTGAGTGAGAGTGCTTAACGATTTTTACATTCCAAGATAAGCTTGGATCCCCGTCGATAGACCTGACCGACTTCTTAAAAGATACCAGAAACAAAACCGTGTGCTGTTACATGTGAAATTTCTGAATATTGGTGACAAAATTTGATTTCCTTTAAAAAAAAAAAAAAAAGCCATTGTGAGAACTGATCAGAGCATACAGTCACTTATTGCAATTGGCCTGTGGTCACCTTTAGGGACTCTGTGGTCCAATCGTTATGGGGCCTGAGCCTAGGAAAGCTCAGGGGCATTTAAGCAACTTTGAAAGGCTTGGATTCACATGTGAGGTGACTGTTTCCTCTTTGTCCTGGTAGAAAAGCCCCTGGAAGCTCACCTGTGCTTTCCTAACTGTGTGACTTTAGGAAAGTCACTCCCATCCTAAGCTTGTGTTTATGTATAAAATGAGATGCTGGATCCATCTTAGAAGATTTAGAGGAATTAGGCGTAGCATCTATAAATTTCCTTACTGCTTACGGTGGTGGCATACAGCACTCAGGAGGGTGGGCCAGGAGGATTACAGGTAATTTGGGCTGCACAGTAATATATGTACATACTGAGGTGGGGGACATTACATCATGTGATCCTATAATAAGAGAGCTAGATAGACAAAAAAGACAGAGACAGAGAGACAGAAATACAGAGATATAGAGACATAATAAGATGCTATATGGAGAGACAGAGATCAGCAGGCAGACACCAACCGATCTGAAAGACAAGAAACATCCAATAGACATTCAACATGGGTTCTGAGACCCACATGGCTCTCACAGCCCTTTCCTCAACCTCCCCTGAAGAGAGGAGCCACACAGTCACCCCACAGAGGGACTGGTAGCTATGGAGATATCACTGACAGTGGCCTATAAAGAGTATGCTGGATTAAGGAGTGTGCAATGGAAAATAGGGTTAATTTCACCACCCAGTTTGAGGGATAGCAGCTCACAGAGGTTGGGAACTCAAGCCTTGGAGCCCAACACCCTGGCCCTGAACCCTGATCCTATACTGTCAGCTGTGAAGCCACCAGCCACTGGCTCTCCTTTTCCCCAGAGGCCTCTTTTATAAATACAAGGTCAAGATGGCACAAACACCAGCTGAGCTGAGAGCTACAAAGTGCTCTGCAAGAGGGCGTGGCATGCCATACAGCACTGTTTGGGGAACTGAGACTCAAAACAGATAATGAAATCAGGGTAAAAAGGAAACTTTCTTCAAAAGAGACAAATGGTCCCTCACATTGAGTCGGCAATCAGAGCGCTATGAAGAACTTTCTCATTTCTTTTTGCCAAAATACAAGGTGAAGGTTGAAGATAATTGGGTTGTGAATGTGAGATGCCTCTTGGGATATCCTGAGCTACCCTAGAAAGAGCCAGCCTTCCTCCTTCCTCCCTTCCTGAGCACTGCCTCTGGGGCCTCACACACAGTAATGAAGCATCCTGAGCTAGCTTCCTTGGCAGACCTCCCCTAACTGTTTATTTACAGACAAGGCCTTGACTTACCAGGAACTCCTCTGCCCCACGCTGACCTTGAATTTGCAGTCCTACTCCCTTAGCCTCATAAAGAGTTGGTATTACAAACCTAAGGTTATTCAGTGGTCTCAGAAACCCAGAGGTTTTCAAACCTGGAAATATTGACATCTTCCCTCTTGGTGTTGGTGGGATTACTTCCTATCTCTTTACACCCCAAGCTGTAACAAACAAGCAAGTAGTCAGACATTGCCACTTGTCCTAAAAGGAGCAAAATGTATCTCTTATTGGAACTCCTCAGACTCAGTACCTGAATATAATGGAATGAAGGCTTGGGACTCATGCCTGATTTATGCCAGATTATGGAAACCAACTTTCTGATACTTCAACTATAGCTAAAAGCCTGGACATCACTGTTCGAAATCACGATTATTCTGGTTTTTGTAGCATATTTCCTGGGTCTGGTTTTCATACATGACCACATTTGATAATCTCAATATTTTCCTAAGCAAGAAAGAAATTACCTAACTCAATAGCTCTGCCAGTGGAGTGCAGGAAAAATGCCCCTGGGATTTAAATTAAAACCTTTCTCATATCTATGGAATTGAGAACTTTCCTTATGATAGATTGCTGCTTGTAGAAGTAATGTATCTTGGTTTTAGAGATTCCTAATGAAAGAATTAATCACTAAACTATTTCCACTCAGTGGAGTTTTGTCATATTAAATAAGGTCAAATATAATCGCAATACTGTCTACTCTACCTCAGGGTGAAGCCACAAATAAAACAAGTGGATGATCGGTTAATCCAAAGATGATTGAATGAATTGTTCTATCCCAGCTCTTAATTCTACCAATTGGAGCAAAGCTGTTTATATTCTCACTCTTTCAATTTCAAGTTGTGGATTTTATTTCTTCCAGCTAAGTTCTACCACTTGGTTCTGTTTGTAGCTCTCAGATTGACTGTTTCTCTTTTCTCACCTGAGAAGCAGGATAAGATTCCTATTTCACTTAGTGAGGTTCTTCCAAGGATGTGTTTTGTTTCATAAAAGGATGAAGTCTGCAAGGCTGATTTGTGGACTTACCAAAGATTTTAGCTTTACAGTGGTTTAAAAGTCATCTGTTTCCACGATAGCTAATGTCAAGCATGCGTGACTACTTCCCGGTCTCTAGGTGTTTTTCTTTCTTTCACACCCTGTTTTCTGTGGAGTTCCACTATGCCCCAAGGGCTCTTCAAAATACTTTTCCAGACATTTTCTCCCAAACACATCATTTGCAACCTTGTATCATCCCATTATTTCACAGAAGGGCAACGAAAGGAGACAAGAGATTCCACTCCCAGCATTGGCACCTGCTTGGGCATCATGCTGATGATGGCACAGTCAAACCAGGGTCCAACAGTTGTCTTAACCCTTTGACATTTCTCCTGGTTCCTTATCTACCAAAGTCTCACACTGTAACAGAGCCTAGGGATATACTTATAAACTCTATTCAAAAAACTTAACATGCTGAGATATACTAGAACTTTCCTAAAACACAGGTCTATTCAGCAAAGGTTTATAGAGCACTCACTCAAGTGTCTACTAGTAAGTGGAGTTTGGGAAGGAGCCAGGGCTTCACAACAGTCATTGAAATGATTCAGTGGTCCATTTTTCTAAACAATAATTTTCAGGTTCAATTATCAAAATTAGCAGAGTCCTCTAAAAGGCACACCCGTTTCTCTGGAAAACACCATACACACACACACACACACACACACACACACACACACACACGCATACACACATACACACACACACATACATACATACATACATACATGCATACATACACAGTGTATTATAACCTCTGTCTTCCATTCCCACCCATCACTGCATAAGCCAGGCTTGGTGCCACACACCTGGAATCGCATCACTGGGGAGGTAGATTCAGAAGGATCTGCAATCCAAGTTTATCCTTGGCTGTGCAGCAAGTTTGAGGCCAGCCTGAGATACCTGAGCCCCTATCTGAGAAAGAGGTGGGGGGTGATACGACTATAGGAGAGTGTAAAGGAGAATGCAGAGGGAATCTTGCTACGTATGTGGATGTCCATATCGCATTGACAGCATCCCCCCAGTGATTCTAATAGGCAGAACCAACTAATGCCACAAGCATCTGTGGTCTTGTTGACTGGTGCAAAAAAACAAATAGAGTTCTGCTTTATAATGCAATGTTGTGTGCTGAGACTTTGCTTTCTGCCTCTATTTTTGACCCTAATCAAAGAGAACTTACCACTCTGCAAGACGTTATGGTCAAGTTTTCTGTTCCCTTATCCAAACCCTCCCCAGGCTAACACCATAGTAATCTAGGCGTGGCAGTGCAGGCCCTCAACCCCATCATTCAGAAGGTCTAAGTGGGAAGATTCTGGGTTCAAACCCAGCTTGTACCAACATCTGTGACTCAGGCTTGGATGGACAGAATAAAAAGCTGCAGGAGAATGTGCTTGAGTTGGAACATTTGATAGGAAACCTGAAAACCTTGGCAGTCAGTGCTTCGACCACTCCGACTTTATCCCATAATGAAAAATGAAATCTGAGCATTCCGACTGCAGAGAGCAGAGTGTGGCTTATAATTTGAGAGAATGGGTTGTTTAAAATGCTTACAGGTCAATTCATCTATAAAAGTCTCAAGATCATTAAGCCAGTTTCTGAAGCTGCATGAAATTAAATGCGCAGCTGCCTCACTGCTAAAGACTGGCGCCCTAACCACTCTGCTTACTGGCTCCTTCTCCAAGTCCCCAGGTAGCTTGCCAATGACTGTCTCCTGCTCAGATAAAGTCCTAGGGGACAAGAAAGAGAGTCTGGGACAGAGTCCAAAAATCTGAGGTTCAGGTCTGCTGTTTCCCTGAGCTGTGAAACCTTCACTGACAGGCTGCCTGAGCCCCTCCTTCACAGCATCTGTCTGAAGACTAGAAAGCAGTGTGAACTGAGGGCCTTCTCCAAACTGCAGCTGTGTAGGTTGGAAAAGGTACACACTGGGAGGGTCATTAGCCTTACTAATATGGGCAGTCCAAATGCAGCCTGCGTTTAAAATTTCAGAAAGCCTTAAGCTGGGACTTTGCCTTCGCATACCTTGGGGCTGTGATAACACAACCTAAGGTTTGCTGGATGCCTAGCAAATGCTCATGTGAAGTGCCATGTGGCTGTGCATTTCACCATTTGCTCCAGAATGTTTTGAAAAGCCATAAAAATCTCACTCTGGCCATGAGACTTTCTCTGTGTGTCTGTGAAATTCATCCACGAGCTCTCAGGAGGATTTGCTAGAAGACGCTGTGGTATGGAATCCGGCGGTATTCTATAGCATGCCTGTCCTCATGAGGACAAAGAATTTTAAGCATATCAATGTTTTAACCCCAAGTCTCCTTTTAGGTTACCTGCTGGTAGTAGATTTTATATGAAGTGGTTCACAGTTGAGTTTTAGCTCTGGAGAAAAGCTGAGTTGGATTGCTGAGCCGTTAGTTCTCGGTGCACAGAAGGCTGGGTGAAGGGTACTATTTTATAGTGCAGATATCCCTTTTCTTCATATTTCCTCCTGTCTTTTGCCAATCTGAATTTGCCCACTATGATGTTAACAGTTTACTATTGAGATTATAATTGTGTACACTCCCGCACCAGATTCCAAGCTCTGGGAGTCACTTCCTGACTTCCCTTTGTGCTCGACAGGAAAGCAGCAGAATGCCAAAGTTAAAAAAGTGACTATGCTGGTGACAAGGAGGCAGTGCCTTCCCTCAGAGTAGAGAACCAATTGGAATTAAACACCCCAGCTCAGGGAAATGAGCAGAGTGTTAGCTCCAGGCTGACAGGCCTGGCCTGGAGAACATGGCACATGAGGTATTCCTGTATTCCTTCTTGTATGTGTGGTGCCATGATCTTCCTGGAGCCAAGTGCATGGGAGGTACAGGAAGGTCTTTGGGACATAAAGAGATGAAGGTAGGGAACCAGAAGATGTAGGGTGGATTTGCTCATGAAGCTTTTAATACCAGTGATGAAAGGTGTGTCTATGTGGCACAGATTCCTGTTGCAGAGAACAGCTGACTGTGTTCACAGAATCCCTGACACATGAAATATCAAGAACACTTTTGTCATCAGTTATTAAAGAAGGTTCTAGAATATAAAAATGATAACAGAGATTGGAAATGAGGTTGATTTTATGTGCCATTTACAATGACACAGAGCAGCGGCTGCCTTTGAGTATGATGAAAATGATATTGCGATTTTGAGGCCACATTGTGTCTGTGAAAACAAAAAGAGCCCCGTGGTTTATTCTACGTGGCAATAGGAAGGAGCAAGGCAAATTTCAGGGCATATGTTTTTAATTGTTTAATAAACTAGATATAACTGCCCACAGCGTAACGATGCTTCTCTCAATTGTCCCTTCTTGCATTATTGCACGTGGAGGAGAGCAAAGTGTTTAGTGCTAAAATTCTTGAATTCTGTTTTTAGGCCTCAGTATGGTGGCAAGTTCTGCCCAGGATCTAGCCGTATCTATAAACTGTGCAACATCGATCCTTGTCACGAGAACAGCTTGGACTTCCGTGCCCAGCAGTGTGCCGAGTATAACAACAAGCCCTTCCGGGGATGGCTGTACCGGTGGAGACCGTATACAAAAGTCGAAGGTAACTCGCTCACCATGACACTCCAGGATCTCTCTGCAGATAACATGTAAATTCACAACACAGAGAAAAGATCTCTGCTCGTGTAAAAGAATTTCCACTTTTATTTTTTTATTCCCAAGACTTGTCCATGGGAATAAAACTTTCTTAGGTGTTGTTTATTTTTGCAACCTTTCTTTTTCTCTTTCTCCTCCCCAGAAGACACCTCTTGTCTCTGAGTGAAAGGATCTGTGTGTTTGGAATAGACTTGTATTTCTAAATGTACCGTTGACAGCTTGGTGATTTTTGTCCTCCAAGGATGTTAATTGAAATGGGTATGAGTTGTCCAGACTGAAAATTCATGAAACCATATATGCCCCACAGAGACAGCATATTTAGCAAGGGACATGTTAGATGATTGCAAGTATAAGAAGATTTTTTTTTTTTTAAAAAGGACGTATGTCTACACACACACATACAGTGAATAAAAATTATGCAGAGTTCTTCATATTTATTATAACTTTAAGTTACAGTTTGCATTTGACTTTTTAAATAACTATAAAGAGAGACACAGGGGAAACACTTTGAGGCAATGTATCATTCTTTAGCTCAAACTAACCTGGAATTTACTATGTATCCCAGGCAGGACCATGTAGCCCAGATTGACCTTGAAATCTTGGCAATCCCCCTGCCTCAGTCCCTCAAGAGCTAGGATTATATATATGAGCCACCATGCCTACATGCATTTGACTTTTGAAATTAATTTGTTTTGTTTTTGTTGTTGGCTAAATAACAAAACATTTGTTTCAGTTGCCATGGAAATGTTGGTATACTATTACCATGCCAGGTAAGCTGTCACCGGTCTGGCTGTTTCTTGGCATTTTTTGTATTGTCCTTCCTTGTTCATAAGAATTCATCCTTGCTTTCTTGAGAAAGGATTTGTGGGACTCTTGGTTGCATACTTGCAGAAGGGGACAAGTGTAACATTTTGACAGTTGATGGGCTGCCCTTGTTTTAAAAAAAAGAAACCTGTGCTGACCATTGCCATCAGGAGAGCTACCGTAATTAGAGAACAATAGTGGACAGACCCACTTGACATTAAGAACAGGGAGCACAGCTTTAAACAATATCACTCTGGCTGGTCCAGGAGTGCTGACTCTTCACTTGGGACCCTCTGTCAAGAACATTTTGAAAGCTGTGTGGTCAGAGGAAATAATGGGACGCCTGTGGATGTTTACAGAGAGAGAGAGAGAGAGAGAGAGAGAGAGAGAATCTAAGTTTTAAAACATTGAAATCGAGGTGTTTTAGATTTACTGGAACCTGTTTCAAAGAGCATATCAGTGTGAGGGCTCAGAATGCCCTAGCATCTCAGCTTCTCAGAAACCCAGCCAACACATTCCGTCATAATTTTTATTCCCTGAAGCCTTTTTCCTGCTTTATTCTTAACTTAGCATGAGTTAAATTTTACATTTTTCTTTTTTTATTTTTATCATATGTATGAATAGTTTACCTGCATGGATGTCTGTGTTCCGATCCCTTGGAACTGGAGTTACAGACAACTGTGAGCCACCATGTGGATGCTGAAAACTGAGTTGTCCTTTGCACTTACTGCCCTTAACCACTGAGCCAGCTTTCCAGTTTCAAGCTCACCTCATTCATTCATTCATTCATTCATTCATTCATTCATTCATTCATTCATTCATGTATTGTCTTCATAAGAATTTAGGGTCCACAGGGACCAAGGCTTGGTACATGTTCAACATGCTTTGTGTCCACAGCATCCAGGAAGGCTACTCAGTCTATAGTTAAAGACTAGTTTGGAGGATTTGTTGTTGACTTTTTCTTTTTAATCACTCTGTGTATCATTCTGTAGCCAAGACTAACCTGGAATTCTCAATCATCCCACTTTAGCCTCCTGAGCTCTGGGATGACAGATGTGTTACCATCCCTGGCTTTAATAGCTATAACTTTAGGAATAATGAACGAAGGGACACATGGTCCCCGTGTAGGTGATAAGTCCTCTATCCCTACAGGCATTCAACGCAGCAGGCTCCAGCAGATCAGCAGATGGGATAGGCCAAGGGGCTCTATTTGTAGCATCCCAAACTGCATCTTCTCTTGCATGCACGCTCCTGCAACCCCATATTTCTCAGACATCATTCTTTCTCTAAGACTCTGCGTCCTTCTCTTTGCTGTCCTTCTGTCCTTTGGCTTCTTGGGTACCCCCTGGTCTTCACCTGTGACTCATTTCATTACATGCAGCACTAATGTAGTCTGTTCTGTGTTGGAATGCAAAGGGGAAGCTAGAGAAGTCTGTAGCTGGAAAAATGCTTTGGGATTGCATGCAGCCTCACTATTGCATCTCAGACTTTGGTAACAAGGAAATACACAGTTTTAGTCACTCCCTCTGAGAATTTGCAGCCTCAGGATCTCATGTCTCCACAGAGTGAGATAGCATAGTCAAGGCTTCTATTCTCACCTTCCTCTCCATATGACACTTAGAACCCAAGGAAACTGACCACCATTGGAAACTCTGGTGCATCCCTTCCCTTTAAGAACAGGAGAAGGCTAAGTTGGATGTCCACACTTGTAATTTCATCACTCAGGAAAATGAGATTGAAATCCAGATCCCATCCCATCCTGCAGATGGGTCAGGTCAGGAACTCAAGAAGAAACCACAGAGGAACAATTTTTACTAATTCTCTCTAGTTCATGTTCAGCTAGCTTTCTTATATTTCCCAGACCTACCCTGTCTAGTGAATGGCACTGCCCACAGTGGGTGGATGACTTCCATATCAGTAATAAATCAAGACAGTCTCTGGAAGACATGACTATGGGCCATTATGATCTGAGCAACTCCTAAGTTGAGGCTTCGTCTTTCCAGGTGACTCGAGGTTGTGTTAATTTTATGCAAATAAGTAAGCAGCGCAAATGGCAAGGGTCAGAAGCCAGCTCGGGCTACACAGTGGGACTGTCTCCAAATCAAAGCAAAACCAAAAGAACAGGCGAAGGTTCTGCTATATATCTCTCCTTTAGCAGTGATAAATCCCTTCTTCACTTTGTTTTTAAAAGGCAAGTATATGCCTGGAAATCTATACTAGAATAAAAAAGCAAAGCAAACAAACAAGCCAAAAAAACAAAACAAAACAAAACAAAAACCAAGCTTTTGTTGGAACTTTTTAATTCCTGGGACACACACACACCACACTATCTAACTCGAACTTGTTAATCTCATTTATAGAAATTAGAAGGGATTAAATATAGTTGTTCTTTGAAAAATGAAAACATTGTTGTTGAGAGAAAAGCATTTCACCCACCCACGAATCTACATATTTTGACCACAGTAATTTATTTTGTCTCACATTGAAGTTTCAGTTTTGCCTTCTATCGAAGGGTTTTTGTGAAACAGGACTGTTTGTGGACTGTTTACACATCTGTGTGAAACTGTTGTTAGGGATATAGCTCAGTGTCGCCTACGGAAGGTCCCATGTGAGAAACGTCATCTGGAGCTGCTGGCCAAGGTCAGCTGTCTCTATCACAGGAATTGGCTTGCTTGTTTCTTCCAGATAACAAGAGCTCTATAACTAACTACACTTTTTTCTTTTTCCTATGATACAAGAAATTTCCCAGAGGCTTAATGGTCAAGTATAAAGTACTTTTTTAGCCTTTAGAATTAGTTTATTTGCTTCTGCTATTCATGCCATTTTAATTTGATATCTTTCATAAACATTGTTGACCACATGCTTTTGTTTTCCAAGTGTTTCGATCTTAACCTTTTTAGAGGCTGTATAAGTATCGACGGGGATCTAGTCCCAAAGTAAATCATCAGACCATCACAGGCTCTGTTTGTAAAAATAAAAATGTTATTAGGACACAAAGGTACCCCTTCATCTGTCTACTGTCATTCATTAACTGCAGGGACCACAAAGTCTGGAATATTTACAGTCCAGGGAGGCTGGCTGCACAACCTAGCAATCCTGTACGTGATGATGATTCATAAAGATTATGAATGCAAAGTCTGAGGTATCAAAGCCAGGCATGGTGATATGCCTTTCACCTCAGTACTTGGAAGGCTGAGGTAGGATGAGGACTGTGAATTATAGGCCAGCCAGGGCTGCATAGTGAGACTCTCTCAAATGAAATTAAATACAGCCCATAATTCTTGGATATCAATATTTAATTGGCTTTGTATGGGCTCTGAGATGGGTTTTGTCCTTTGAAACATATATGTGTGTGTGTGTGTGTGTGTGTGTGTGTGTGTGTGTGTGTGTGTGGTCTGTGTGCACACACAGATATGCTCACATGCAAAACTATATAGAATGTTGTCTATTTTTGCTCACAATAGCTTTCCAAGTTGATTAGTTGCTCTTTCTGGTAGCCATACTGTTTTGCATAAAAGCTAGTCTTAACCACATCCCCCCTTCATCTCTCTGCCTCTAGAGGAAGATCGATGTAAACTCTACTGCAAGGCCGAGAACTTCGAGTTTTTTTTCGCCATGTCCGGCAAGGTGAAAGATGGGACGCCTTGTTCCCCACACAGAAATGATGTCTGCATCGATGGAATTTGTGAGGTAAGTGGAAATTTTTGCCCCAGTGTGCAGTCAGGTTTATCTCCTCCTATGCCATGGAAATGGTTGAAAGAGTCCCTACAGCACACATAAGGGAGATAGACAAAGCATCCAGCTGAGCTGTGCATCTTTGAGGCCCTATCTTACTTTTTTGCAAGACCCCTGCGTTTTTGTCCACTTCCCAGCATAGAGAATGGTATGGAGGTTACAGCCACTATTGCATTGCTATAAAAATTAAAGACAGAAGCCAGGCACAGTAATGAACACCTATAATCCCAGCACTCAGGGAGGCAGAGGCAGGTGGAGCTCTGTGAGTTCGAGGCCAGCTTGGTCTACAAAGTGAGTCTGGGACAGCCAGGGCTACACAGAGAAACCTTGTCTTGAAAAACCAAAACAAACACAAAAAATTAGAGATGGAAATGATCGTGGTGCCCTAGTGCCTGCTTAGTAAGCATGTTCATCATGTTTTAGAGCTTCAGAGGTGCAACGGAACAGAGCTCTTTTCTGTTCTCTCTGGGGTCTCGCTCTCCCTTGCATTTAAAATTTCCTGTGAGCATTTCATCCGTTTCCAGGGTGTGTGTGGACATGTGTGCCTGTGCTTATTTGTATGGATATAGGTAGCGTTTCATGTGTGTGTGTATGTGTTTGTGCATATATGTGCTTGTGCATGGGTACACTCTTGTTCATGTTTGTGTGTGTGTGTGTGTGTGTGTGTGTGTGTGTGCGCATATATGCGTGTGCATGCAGGGAGTCTAAATGTATACTGCTTGGCATTTTTTTCCATTCAGACAGTTGGCCTGGAAGTCTGGTACTAGCCCATGACTCTTTAGTTTGACAGAGGTGGGGTCTAAGTCTTAGATCAGTGTGCCACTGGATTGACTATGCATTTGCTTGCAGAGGAAGAGTCACTTTTCTTACGGGGAAGAAGGCCAGCAGTAGATTGCCCACGCTGCAGTGCTTGAGCCCATGCCTGTGTGCATATGATTGTCACTCATTAGAATCAGTGGGTTAAAAAAATATATATATATACAAAGGAAAGAAACCATGAAGTTGGGAGCAAGATGTATGGGGGCCTTCCAGGAGACTTGGAGGCAGAGGGGGATATATATGATTAAAATACATTGTATGCGTGAATTAACTATTTTAAAGAATAAGTAAAATATCCTTTACAAAGAATACCAGAGGAAATCTTTGAACCCGTCTGACTTAAAGGCTCTTGGCTTTCACCCGCCCCCACTTCTGTTAGCCTCTACCACTGGCTTTGCTCATCTTTGGTTTCCTCCCTGCTCTTCTTTGTTCTTCACAGCCAGTGGGATGTGACCACGAGCTTGGCTCTAAGGCAGTCTCAGATGCATGTGGTGTTTGCAAAGGCGACAATTCAACGTGCAAGTTTTATAAAGGCCTGTACCTCAGTCAGCACAAAGCAAACGGTAAGAGCTGCCACTGTTCCCTTGACAGCACGCACGATGCCACATCCCCTCTCACAGTGCCATGCTCCTGCCTCTGAATGGGGAGCGGACTGGGCTTAGCTTAGCTTACCTGACACCCGTGATAGCTTTTGTCACATGGCAAGGTTCTTAGGATCTGTGGGTGAGTAGCCTCATCTATGCATTGTGCCTCAGAAGCATTTTGAGTAGAGCTGCAAAAATGGCTCACCAGGAAAAGGTACCTGCCACCAAGCTTCACATGAGTTCCAGCCCCAGAACCCAAGGTGGAAGGGGAGAACTGACTCTTAAAAGTCATCCTCTGACCTTCTCATGCATGCTGTGGCACATAGGTACACATTAGTGTGTGTGTGTGTGTGTGTGTGTGTGTGTGTAAGAGAAAGAGAGAGAAAATATAAAAAACAGAAAATGAAATGATTGACCATTTTGCTCCATAAAATACGAGTAAAGAGTCTCAAAGGCTCCATCAAAATGGACACTATACATCCTTGGGCATTTCTGGTTCCCATCCTCCAATCTACAGTGTTAAACTCTGGCATATTCTTCTCTGTCCATTTAGAGTATTACCCTGTGGTCACCATCCCAGCTGGGGCCAGAAGCATTGAAATCCAGGAGTTGCAGCTTTCTTCCAGTTATCTTGCTGTCCGAAGCCTCAATCAAAAGTATTACCTCACAGGGGGCTGGAGCATTGACTGGCCTGGGGACTTCACCTTCGCGGGGACCACATTTGAATACCAGCGTTCCTTTAACCGCCCAGAACGCCTGTATGCACCAGGACCCACAAATGAGACGCTGGTCTTTGAAGTAAGCTTGATCCTAATGGTAGTGCCCGCTGTGGCATTGACAGCAACAGCTACAACTTGAGCAAATTCAGGGGACTCCCTGCTCTGCTCATTTCCTAACAGGAAACCTTTCAGTGCAAGGAGGGAAGGGCAGTTAGCAACTCCTTTTAGAGGAACTAGAGACAGAAGTCTGATGGGCTTCCAAAAGGTTTTCATGTTTAAATAGCAGTCCTCTTCTATTGTACTTTCCTGGGAGTACCCAGAGACTCAAAGGTAATACTCATTAGATGATTTTATGTTGTGTCTGCCATTTGAAGAGGCTGTTGTAGCTATTCCCAGCATTCATCCGCTGGCCCAGGAGGAGGCGTTTTCATAGAGAAAATGCTGACTTTAGTGTCAGCAGTGGGTTAGCCATAATTTTGTAGGTTGTAGTTTCCCCAGAGATTAAGAAAGAAAGAAAAACATATGAATGAGCAATGGAAGCAATAAACGCAGCCAGCATTTCTCCAAATAAGTATGCAAGACTGTTATAATATGCACATTTCCGTGAGTCCTCTGGGTCTGCTCTCTTCCCATTTGCAAAATGGGACTGATGGTCTGCTCTGGCAGGACTGTGGTTTATTTTGGTGTGTGTGTAAGTGACCGTGTCTACTACTGAACAAACAGTAACATAATCAGCTATTCTTGTTAGTTATTTGGCAGTTTTTTGTTGTTGTTGTTGTTTTACCTACACATTTACAGTAGGAAGCTTACTGCTATTCCAATTTCTGTTACTATTGCAAAATACCTGAGGTAATTGACTTATGCAGAAGAAAGGTTTGTTTTGACTTTGAGATTTGGAAGTTTCAGGCTGTGCTGAGTTGGCCCTGTCGCTTTTACTGTGTGCAAGGACTCATTAGGAGTAATTTGTGGGAAAATGCCAGGAAGTAAAAGAGAAAGAAGAGGGGTCATAGTCAGAAAATCCTACAGAGGATTCTTCTCCCCCAATGATTTAACATCTTCTGACTACAGCTGACCATTTAAAATCTTTATACATACACATGCACACGCACACACACATGCACACAGGTACACGCATATAACCCACTCAGTAGTGTTATGGGCTAGGGGCCTAACACATAGCACCTTCCATCTTTGACTTGACAGAAAGGGGCTCAAGCATGAAGGATAGTTAAAAGCTTCCATAACCCACCAAGCTAGGAGAGGCAGAGGCAAGCTGGAGTCCACATCTTCTCCACCCAGAAACATGACCTCTTTGCCACGGTCCAGTTCCATTGCTCATCTCTGCTCAAACAAAGGAAGCAGGTCATTGAGAGAGCTGCTGCTAGTACCACTGTTGTTAAGGTTGCCGTGGGCTCTGTCTTGCTGTGGTTAGGCACAGTGACAGGCATTAGTTTCTCTTTTGGCTTCGGGGAGGAATATGCATTGTGGGGCTGTGGTGTAGTTATCTGCCCATGACACACATGAGAGCACACACAAGGCATCCAGAGGTCAAGCTCAGGTGTCATAGATGTGGCAGGACTAAGATCAGAACTCGGGTCTTTCTAACCCTGCTACACGTGATGTTACCCAACACCCAAGATGCTAGAAAGGCCAAGCCACTCATGCACTAAGGTCCTCTTAGAGCAAGTCTGCTCCAGTCGACCTAGAAGGTGCAGAAGCTCTGGAGAGGTGGGAAGCTACGGGGACAGGGAGTTGAGCTGCTCAGGGACAGTTTCTATCCAAATTATTTTTAAAATATTTTTGTTGGTGCTGAGGACTTGAGCAGGGGCCTTGCATATGCCAGGCATGTACTTTATCTGTGTGCCTCAGCCACAGCCTCTTGTCCACACATGAACCCACAAGATCATTGGAAAATAATGTTCTCAACAGACACAAACCGGTGGCAACTAGAAGGCCACTATGAAAGCTGAATATTGAGACTGGTGCCAAGAGCTTGTCTGATGGTTTTTGCTGAAGACTCGGTATTTCCTTCTCACTCCCTGGTGCATATTTAAGCTATTTGCATTTTCGGTGTCTTTGGCATGCGGAGGAAACGTCTCTGCACTTGCTCCTACAGGCTTCAGAATACTGTGTCCCCCTCCTCTTGGGGTGCTTTGGCCAAATGTATGATTGACAAAGCTGTTTCCAGAGGCACATTCTTGCTCTGTACAAACGGAAGCTGTCCATTCCTCTTCCTCATCCCTGGCTCAGCCGGACAATATCATGCTCCTGCAATGTGGGCCGTGACGGTGTACAGCTCCTGACAGTTCTGTGGTGAAAGCAGTGAAAAGGGATTTCTCTTGCCCTGTGTGGGAGTTTGGATGCCATGTGTGGTGGAGTTACTCTGGGTGAATCTATGTGACATTTTGATGCTTCCCTAATGGATTCCTAGATTTGACAGAACTGGAGAAGGCTGACAAGTGAAAGTGCCTGCCATGTTAAACAGCTAGTAAGTTCACACTGTGAGTGCTACTTGGTTCCCCACTGGACTGTAGACTGGATACAGGTATATAGCTGGAGATAAAATAGTAGAAAAGAGAGAAACCAGCATACGAGAAAAGAAGCCCAGCACACTAGAGAGCGTAGGTGGTTGTTGTACTAACATATCAATGAAGACAGATTTTTGGCAAGCTCCTTGAAGAAGAAAATAGAGGCTGCCTCTGGATTTAGGGGTTGGTAGAGAAGAGCCGCCTAATACAAGTGCAGGACCAGCCTAGTGAAGTGTACGGAGATTTCAAGACAGGAAATAGTTAGGGGTGAACCTCATGCTTCAGACTGAGAAGTTGCCCTGGGGTAGGGGTGGGGTTGGCAAAGCTGCAGAGCACAGGTGACATTAGAATCAATAGTGAAGAGTATGGAATTCATGCTAAGTCAGTGTCCAGTTCTTACTGACGTGGGTGTGTTAAAAGCTCACTCCAGCAGCTGTGTGGAAATATGATTTGAGGGACACGATACAAACTGAAAGACAAAGGAAATGGATTCAGCTTTATTTCCAGGCAAGAATTGCTAAAAAACCTAAACTGAGGGTTAGGTGGGAAGGAAGTGAACCTGCTTGTTATAGAAATTTAGATAGAAAGTGGGAAGGAAGGTTATAGAGATATGTAGGATATGGACTTTGAGGGAAAAGACAGTATTGAGAATGAACCCTAGCTTCCTTCTTGAGCCTTTGGTGGGTGCTTTTACTACTACAGCTCTCTAGATGATGCCTTGAGGTGTGGGTAGGGATGGAGAGTGCTTACATTTTAGCCTCCTGCTATTAAGATTCACCTTCAGTATCGCAGCAGCTATGAACATTAAAATACTCAAAGCAGTATGGAAACGAATGCATATCAGGCCATGAAAACCCCCTGAAGTGATACCTTACCTTAACATAGTTAACAAACTCTAGGGTGGAGGTCCCAGCTTCCTCAGATGGGCTGCCTCTTGGAAATAGCCAAATTATTGCCTTATCAAGAAGCACTACATCTCACAAAGGCACTGCAGGGATACCACCAATGAGCTGGCACAAAAGGTGTGTCTACACCAAGACCTTGACTCAGAGATGTCACAGGGTTTTGTATATAAATGCTCTTCTGTTGCTACCCTGGAGTTCTGTCATGCACTTTTGCTCTGAACTTGCCCAGACAAAAAAAAAGTAGAGATTTCCTTAGTGACAATGGGGATGCCATCCTAGCTGTTCTTCCTCTGACTGTTCCGAGTTGGTGTTTTTTCTTGTGGATTTTAAGATATCTAAAATCTGTGCATGAATCCCATACTCAGAATCACTCCGCATTCATTTTGGAGTAGAGTATCTTTCCCAAATATTCCCTTGGTCCCTGCAGGCAATGCGAGAATACTGCTTGTCACGTACGCATCAGTTCCACAGTTTTAATATCACACTATCTGTTTAGATTTCAGAATCATAGCATTTCCTGCAGTGAAATGCAGGTCTGTTTGTCCTGGGGACCTCTTGAACAATGACAGTATAGAATAAAAGTTCACCCTCCCCATGTCCTAGTCTCATTTCTGTTACTGTGATAAAACATGGTGACAAAAGCAACTTGGTGAGGCGTGGGGGTGGGGGAAGGGGGGTTTATTTGGCTTGATTCCACGATGACATAGTCAATCCATCATTGCCAAGAAGTCAAGGCATGAACTGAAGTCAGTTAGTCATGTCACATTCTAGAGCAGAGAGAGAATAAAGTAAAGAATAAAATTAAGAACAAAGCAACCCATTGCCTCTACTCTCCAAACAGTTTCGGGCTCAGAATGGTGCTGCCTATATTGGGCTGGATCTTCTCACATCAATGAACTCAATTAAGAAAAATCTGTCACAAGGATGCCCATGGGAAAACCTGATCTAGACAGGCCCATGTTGAGACTCTATTCCCAGGTAATTCCAGATTATGTCAGTTGACAATCAGTGCTAACCATCAGCCCACATGACATCTGCAGTGTGACACCTTAAACTTTTACTTGTGGAGCTCGGAAGGCAGTTGACCAACATTAATCATCTACAATTCAAGATCTGAACATTAGGAGTGCAGGCTTGACTTGCTAGTGTTAACTGGGGGAAACGTTCCTACTTCCTCTATCCACATCTGTGGAAAGGGGAAATCATGCCTGCTGTTGCGGCTCTTTGTAAGAATTATTTGAGATGAGTTTGGGGTCCACATCATTGCGTTTCTCCTTTGCATGCATGGCACACACATTTTAAAAAGCTAACCTTAAACCTCAGGCCACAGTGAGCAAACTGGTGGCCAGGGGCCAGCTCCATTTCCCAGATCACAGAGCAATAAAGCATAATGGAACAATGCCTTAATATCATGTGAGTTCTTGTAAAAATGTGGATTTAAAAATCTGTTTTTAGAGACTTCTGGCATTAGTGGATATTTGAGTTTGTAAGGTTGGCCATAGAACTTGGTCATGAATTGGCCTCCTGTCACCTCATACACTAGGGATCTTGTTTTACCTGAGAAAATTTTAAGCAACCCTAGATATTTAGGTATATAAAATAGACATGCTAGCCACACATTTACAGATAATAAATTGTTATTTTGT